ATTCTTACGCAAATTGAGTGGTTTTAACGAATTGAGAATTTTTCTCGCGTGTTTTCTTAAATCGAGAAAATGCAATTAAATCGTTCACGAAATACTTAACGTTTTACAATACGAATTATGTTATAATCTGCCCCTTGCGTTTCGCATTTCATCGATAAACGTGCTCGATATAGGTGCTTTCCATTTACATCAAAGTTCAGATAAATTTTACTTCTATCTTTCTTTAACATGAATGTTGAAGAAAGACAGAAGGGTGAGATTTATCTGAGTTTTGATGTAAATGGAAAGCATCTAATGTCATCGATACATTATTCGTATTTATGCGAGTTGACCAACTCTTTTTATTTTTTGCCAAATTTTTATCCGCCGATTTGAACGATTAACGAGAATTTTTCTCGTGTTTTCTTAATAAATCAGGAAAATTGAATTAAATAGCCGCAAAAGATGTGACGATTCTCTTTCTTTTCTATCTTTTATTGTCTTCATGTATTACTTATTAATATTGCATAATTTTATTCTCCGATAATATAAAATATATAATAAAAATTTTTTAAAATATATATATGAGACGTATGTAAACTTTATTCTTCAAAGAAATTAAACATTTGATTCAATTCGTTCAAGTGCAATGTCATTTTTTAGACAATAAATTTGATTCGCGTTGCATCGAACAATGGATATAGTTTTCAGTGCTATTTTCGAATGTATCGTTATTAATTCTTCTATTGTAAGTATAGAGTAATTAGCAATCATTCAACATTTTCATTTAAAATGGGATTATTTGGTATACAGCATAGATCATCTATCTCCTTCTATTAATTGACGAATATAATTGTCGATTCCAACGAAAAATTTAACAAAAATTTAATTATACTTATATACATATAATATACGCAAAATTTAGAATACTTATTTCTGAAAAATCTGGAATTTGCTAGTGTCTCTTTGGTATGATAGCTATCGGCGGTTCTGTTATACCTCACATTCCATTCATGAAATGTCACGCGAATAGCTTCTGCGTCAGTAGCCTAATGCACTCGAAGAATTCATCGTTCCTCAGGAATTTCGTCCCATCGTTGTACGAGCTTGACCTAGTGCACTGGATATCAATCAACCATTAAATCTCACTCTCACGTTCTGCATTATACTAAAAAATTATATTAACACGTTAAAATTTTAGTATACAAATTTGCAATTTATATTTTAACAAATATGTAGATAGTAAATTATTTCTTTAACGATAGAGAAATTGCTATAAAATAGGATGGGGATGAGCGGGAACATAATGAAGTCGGTTAAAAAGAAAATGTTCAACGTGTGTAGAAAGACATTGCTCATTATTGTTTTGTCGTTAGAAACATTATCGGATTAAACTTACAAGTAATAACTATACACGCATAGATGTACATACATATATAATAATAAGAGTATACATGTGTTGTATATTTAAAATTGCAATAACCATTACGCTATTTCACATTGCGATTAATTTCAAGTGCAATGTCTATCTCTCGTACTGTTAATAAAATCTCCTTCGACAAGTGGAAAACGCTTTTATTTATAATTTACGTATTAGCTAAAGTGCAGTCGTTTTATGGACGTGAAAGTGAAAAATCTTCTTGGAAATGCGAAATGCAACATGTGAAAAAGTACATTTACGTGTATATATCCTAAAGTACAATTCCTAAAATTCGTCTATGAAATTTTTATCAAACAAGCTTGAGCACTCTGTAAATGCTTTGTGCACTGTTGAGCAGCAAACTTACTTCACCCAACATTGCAAGGAGATTAAAAAAAAAATTAATTATCTTCAGTTTCTCTTAAATAACGTGGAAATATAGTATCATTGGCCAGTATTCGTAGTCAGATCTTACATATATATATAGATATAAGCTCTGACTATGAATACCGGTCATTGTCTTATAAATTTATATTATATATAAATTTTATATATAATTCTACATATAAAATTTATATAATTTATATAAATTACATTATGTTTAATTGTATATATAAAGTGTCATATTATGTATCTAATCGTGTTATTTACTGACTAATAAATAAATAGTTTGACGTAATAATAAAGGTCTCCCTCCAAAGACAATAATACAAACAAGTTTTTCTATTTCTGATTGTTTAACGTATATCTTTAAAAAAGCAAAAGAAGTTTAATGTATCCCATTAAAACACAATCGGTATAAAAGGAATGTATAGTGATGCCTATATCTCTGTCGTCATATCTTTATCTTCACTATTAGCATTAAATGTTTAGCACATTTCTTTCATTTATCCCGTATTACAGTCTCCTTCTTTCTACTCTTTTCTTTATTAAAAGATTGAAAAAATATTTTTCAAATAAATACGTACGTCATATATCTAAAACGAAAATTGGGGATTTAATTCTTGTGTTGGCGCTCATTATTTTCCTCTTATTGCGTAAAAACGTTAGCAATAAGACCTATATATTGAAGAAATCGATCAATTGCAAGAAGAAATTCTTGAGAAGATTGCCATTTTGAAGAACTCTCTACTTTGGTTGTTCGAGCGACTTAACGTTTAAGTCTTACTGTTTATGTCTTTCTATGTGCTTCTGTATTCGAATCCCAACTCTAAAATGTTGTTACTTTTAGATGTATAACGAATGTCGAAAGATTGGATTTGTTGACTTGCAATTTATCTTTTTTGTTTCTTGTGTCTGTTTGAAAATGTCCGATTATAGTCAACATGTTGGGCCTGGCACTAGGAATTTGCATTCCTAGTAATACTTTGCACAACACGCTGTCCCCACCATGCCTCCAAGTTAAATGGCTCAAAATCTGTAAAAAAAAAAAGTGAGACGCAATATATCCTATTCATCCTTCATTCACAATATATTCAAAGAAAATAATAAAGGAAAATAAAAATTATCGAAGAAAAAGAATAAAACGTTACAATAAAACAAAATATCTCTAAAGAATGGGAATTAATCTCTGCGGGTACACTGTACATGCACATATAATTTTCTTAGGGCGCGTTCCGTTTTACGCATGATGTGCATCATAATGCATCACTCATCCTTGTTTAACATTCAGTGAACAAGGATAAGTAATGCATTATGGGCATCATGCATGAAACGGAATGCATTCTTAGTAAATTAAGATCAAGACAAAGAAACAAAAGAAATAAAATCTTTCAGTTTAAATCAAAATTTTTTTATATCACTACTGTTTCTATAAAGTACAAAATGTTTACCTTTCAACTGTGGGTTTGGCTCACGTTCTTGGTAATATGTAACTGACGCTCCATGTCTATAATTGGAGGAGTTACTGTGTGGTTGATTGTGGCACATATCTAACTCTTTAGATACAGAATTCCACGCTGAAAAAAACAAAAATGAATCGAGTATAAAGAATAAACCGTCTCTCTAAAACATATATTTTAATCATTTGAATTAAATTGCGTGTATACGTTTATACTTACAATCATAGATATACTTGATCAGGTCAAAGTGTTGCGCCAGTGCCTCTGGCTGATGTCTGGAAGGTATCGATGAGGGCCTCTTCCCATTCATCGTAGTCATCTGCGATCTACTGCTACGAATAACATAATTAAGATAAGCAACCGTTCTAAATATATAATTCAGTTCTCATATATACGATATGACAACAAATAAAATTGATCCTAATATCACCTAGCCTAGGTTTCCTTCTTAGATTTTTAGATTTTCTAAATCTAATTTAAAATGTCACTAAATTATTAAAACGTCAACTGTGACCCTGACATCTAAAAATAATTAATCCGCCCATAATTAACCGGAATTACAGGTTATCGCGTAACGTAGGGTCCGTGCCAAGTACAGATGCAACATTTTACCGAGGCATTTTGAAAAGATTTCCAGTTCACGCGTGTTATACGGATTTACAACGATCGGGACTCCGGGTTCGTAATTATCATGCACGTGACACGATAACTCGCGATAACGTCGCTAAACCTCGACGTAAACGTGAAATCACGCGACGACAATGCAGCTCCTTCGTGACAAGTGCTGTAACACGCGTATCAGAATCCATACGTACACAAAGGCACGTGTACGCGTGTGTGTGTATACACGTTCAGCCATCTTCGAAGCGTCATACGGGCAAGTGTCTTGACGGTGCACACATGTGATTCATCAACAATTAAGCGTGACACGATTTTCACACGCGACAATCATCTATACATGTGTACATACGTATGTATGCATATATACATCAAAAAAGCCATGCGCGCCATTTAGATATATACATATAATATGGAGTGTATAGACACACACGTATATAGGGACAATAGTATAATTAAAACATTTATACATTCGAGCGTGCCCCGTCGAAGATGGTAAGAGACGAGTATCTTTCAAACGAGAAAATCCCTCTAGCGATGCCTTTTAATTCCCCGAGTCCGCGAATTAAATGCCCGAGGCACGAGTCAACGTTCTGGGGGTGAGGAGAACATCAGCGCGGGAAAGATGGCGGCTGATAAACGCGAATCCGCTTCCCCGTTCCCGCCCGCGAACCGTCGCACGACGCACCGCGTCGTTCGATCGCTCTCGTTTCCGCGGAGCAGCGTCCCGTTCGGCTTTCGCACGACCGTCAACGAGCGCCGAAAGAGATTCTCAGGAAAGCGCGAGGAGATGCAAAGCGAGCACGCGGTGGCCCGCTTTGCGAAACGCGGATGGGTAGATACCTCATTTTTCCCAGTTCCGTGTCCCTCCCAGTCTCTCGACGACGATGCGGCTCGATCTGTCGACGCGACGGTTGTCGGTGGCCGGGACACGCAGCCTGGACGTGGCTGCGCCGGGACGCGAACGGCGGACGAGGCTCCAGTGCCGCTGACAATTTGAGCAAACTGTGCAGCTGTGTCAAGCGCACAGCTGTGCCGAGCTTACCCTACGGTGGCTGTCAACAATTGCCACGAGTGACGAGCCACGAACCACAACGCGACCTTCCGACCACTTCCGACAGTTCCGACGACGCCAGACCAGACGACGCGGAACAGAAACTCGCGAGAGGAGGCGCGCGCGCGCCAGAGATGGAGATTCGGAGAAATCGAAAGCGTTGAAAGCGAACAGGACTGAACAGGACCATCGCCAGATGGTGCTCGGGTATCGATTAGCGTTGCACAGCCGGTATTATATCTACTCAGCATCTTGGTCAGTTATCGTTAATCGTTATCGTCGTCCTTTATCTCGTCGCGGTGTTTCGCAATAATCGCAATTTGCCGTATTGCTCTCTGAATAAGAAGAGAAGAAGTCGCGGTGTTTCGGGGCACAACAGAAGACTGTGGATATATGTATAGCGTATAAGTAAGCGTGTTACCTGTTGGAAATATTCGTGGACATGGCTACGTAGTTCAATATCCACGGTTTGTGCATGTAGAGGATGCGCCAATAGACATGTTTTATTTAAATCCAGGTATGTCCACTCAGACTTCTCTCTCTGGTATATAATTCCTCAAAAATTATCACTAGATGGATCTGCTATTAACAATCGCTGTCGTAAACGAGATAAATCTTATTTTTGCATAATCTTTTAATTTTGCAAAATACTACGTTATTATTTCGTGTTATAACGGTAGATAAATTTTGCTCTTATAAAAAAGGATTTAAAAAATCTTTTAACCGTATGAATATATTTAATTGTATTAATCCATAATCAGAAAGAGGAAATATTTTAAGTGTCTCCCCCTCGTCAATTAAATTTTTTTTAATTCCGCATTTTGTTTAAAATTCTGAACAATTCCTCAAGATTTCTAAATCAAAGATTGTGAAATATAAAATTTCTAATTTTTATATAATATAAAAAATTGTTATTCTCTACTTTTTATAATTATCAAAAATTTTTCTCGAACATATACATATAAGGAACTCAAGAAATTAATCAAAAAATTGAAATTCTGTCAAGCTTCACAGAAGTCTCAATTCAAATCTTTGAACATTGTAAGCGAAAAATTGTACATATACTCAATATACCTAAATAGAAAATAGAACACTCAAACATTTATGAAATCATTATTTTTTTTTATGTTGTGTATCCACGATAATTCTGATGGAATGCTCATCAGAATAATCTAAGAAGAGATTGCACGAAGAAAAATGCAATTATTTCCGTTTCTCTTCGACATCTCTACAGTAGATTTAATCATCGTTTAAAGATACATTCGTAACACAATAGAATTGGAAAAGTCGATATTTCCACCCCTTTCCTTATAAAACTTATTGTTTGAAAACTTATTGTATTATCTGCGGCTTCTCCTGTTTTCTTCTTTATTATCGAAATGTGAAAGTATCGAACATAGTTATCTATAGAATATATATATATATATATAAAGCAATATCACTTGTCGATGCAAGACGCAACACAAAAGCCATGCCATTGATTGTTTATTTTGAACAAGAGCGTTTATTTATTTTTTTGCAGTATTATTTTCTCTATTTTTGCAACGTTTAGGTTTTTGCAACATTGTCAAAATGGCATTAATCCGTAAAAATTAAAAGACAGTATTGTTTCAGCATTTTTCTTTTTTTTTTTTTTGTTAAGTTCTTGTCTTTAATTTAAAAATTATTGCAATGCACATTTAGTTGTCTAATTACGTTTGTCAGCGTTTCTTCGAAATAAGACGCAATATTTCAGGATTAAAAAATACCTGTTAATAGCGTTAATTAAGAAAGGACGGTCACTCTTTGAAAGTGCTTCTCAACTAGGTCATTATACTTAGGAATGCGTCACAAATGCATCTGGTAATTAAACGTAACCCAGTTAATAAGTGAGACAATTCTAGATTCTGACAATGAGTAGAGCGATAAAGAAGTATCAGTTACAATGAGCTTTATAATCTCGATTAAATGCCATGAATATATTATCAAAAATACTTGCATTTAGTCGACATTAATATGATAAATCTTCTTTATTATTTCCAATTTTTGTCATTTTCTTACGCTATGTTTTACGAGATTTTGCTGTTGCAACGAAAGCGTCAACGAATTTAAAAGATCGCGACACTTAATGCAAGTTTCTTAATTCTCGTAATTATGACCCTTTTGTTGACGATTTTTTAAAAGACTTTGTAATTGGAAAAGCAGATATTATAACCGAGACAAAATGATTAATTAAACGTCTTTGCAAGGAACATTGGCGATAAATCGCGTCGCAAATTGTCATGCGTGAAGCCGTAGGTCATACTCGACGGAAAGAAGCTACGTGCAATACATACATTCATGAAATCGGACAAATGCGTATGCAATGTGGCAACAGGCGAGTATACGCATCGATTTCCGATATGCACCGTATACGCGCTCTTCGTCTCTATAGAGCTCACGCCACGATCCTTCGTCCTTGCCTTCCTTTCTGGTCATGTTAACCATGCGATCAACATGGCGAAGGGCGTATACGAATTTCCGGAATTTTTCTCCGCTTCATCGGAAGTGAACGCTACGAGCTGCATTGATCAATATTGACTGCGCGAAAGAATTCGGTATATCAGCGGATGTGTGATACGTGTATATATATACATACATGTATATGGGATATCATCGATTGAGAAGTTGAAGTTTCTTTTTACGTTGTGTATACTGTGATTTATTACGTCATACTGTGCGTTCCAGCTTTGAAATTTCTTTTACGAGCAGTAAACATTGAAAAAACGTTACCTTTTAATCAGCTTTCTTCATATCTTTGAAATACTATACCTATTTGCGTTTAATAATGTTTTGTTTCAAAAATTTAGACACGATATTTATATAAAATTAGAATATTTTTGTCATATTCTAATTAGTATAAATTTAATTATACGAGAGAGCATGAATAAACGCGAATGAATGAACGTTATCTTTTAATAGTTTTCTTGATATCTTAGAAAGGCTATATACTACAATCAATAATTCTTTTTCAAAAATTTAGACAAGATATTTATTTAAATTTATCATATTTTAATTAGCAAATTTAATTACATATAAAAATGGATTTAGTCCGAGTGACAGAGCGTAAACAAATACGAATAAATAACTTGCTTCAACAAGTGCGCGAACAAGAGAGAAAATATCAACTTTATATTTTACGAGAATTTCTTGACCAAAATAATACAGTCTATTATACAGTTATCTGTGGACAGCTTTTACATGAATGGAATTTACGTAATGCATTTTACATACTTTTATCTAAAGATGCTTTGATATTTTTTTAGAACATATTGCTTTATTGAAATTTTTTTGACACATTGTTTATTCGGAAAAGCGAGCGTGATAATGTAAGTAGTTGATTAAGCTTTTACGGTATTATAAACATCGGTGGTCTCCTCATGAAAATGTTAATGAAATTAGTTTCCTATACTATCACATTATTTGTGCATTTATTATCCTTAAAAGCCGGTTCGTCACATCCATTGCAACGAGCGTGTTTAATGGACGTAGCGCTTTCGGACCGTGAAATATAGCGACGGACGAAAAGAAAGTAGGTAGGCGAAAAATGAAAGAAAACGAGACACCGATGACGTCCAGGCCAGGCAAACGACGACAAGCTGAAAGCCTCCATGGAATTTCATCTGACAAAATAAAGTTGAGAGAGAGAGAAGATAGACGAAAAAGAAATGCTGCAGAACTCGTAGACATGTAATATTCAGACACCGCAGTCAAAAATAACACTGATTTACGTTTCGTGAATTTGCTTAAATCGCAAGCAAACGGAATAAACTAAGAGTTTTCGGTTTTTCGATGATTGAGTGAGAAATAATTTATGATATTCTCTTCTTTTATTAAAAATTTTCAAACAAAATAGAAGCGTAATTACTTGTATATAATAAATAATTTTACGTTTAACATAGACATATACACTCATTTAACTGTAATATTTTATTTAGATATATTGTTGAGGATTATCTTTTAATTGAAAATAATGTAGAGGGATACTCTTAGTTTTATCACCTTAATAAAACCGCGTAACAAGTGGCTTATCTAGAAGCGTTGAAAGATTTCGCAGGAAAAACGACCGAGCTTCTGTGGAAAGTGTAATAAGCAACGGCTGTTAGTTATCATTTAAGCTATTACTTCTCTTAATAATCATAAGTAATGATTTACCGTACTTTTATCATAATGTAGTTTTATAGAAAGTGCGTAATATGTCGTATTGGAGACAGAGTTTAATTAAATAACTAGCTTGATATAACGTAATTAAATAGATTGCTAATGATTAGTAACATTTAATTACAAATTCAGTATTAATCCCTTTCACATAGATACCACGTGCCACGATGCCACGTGGAATATATAAATGAAATTTATGATGTTAATTTTGCGCGCTAATGCTATATCATGAAAGAGATTAAGATTCCGATTTACAGTCTTTTGAAATATAAAATTAGAATCGGAAATGGTACGAATTTCCAAGTATGTACGCAAATATGCAACCTCTTGTCCACCGAAATAGAAACGAAGTGGAACGAAACCGAATATCGAAAAGAGCAACATTTTTCTCAATGCAAGTTTCTCCGTGGATTTTTATTCCATTTCTGTCACAATCGCATTCAACAATGAATTCACCGTGCACTCTATATGCATCTTGCAAGTCCAAAAATTTCGTTCGTCGGTCAGTGAACGTGAGGTCAAAGAGATTTTCAATAAACGATAGAACATTCAATTTTCAACTGTTAAAAGTATCTAAATCAATTTCTTTGCGGTTTTTTATTCTAAAATTATTGCAAAAAATTTAAAATAATTGAGTTTAATTAGTTTAGTTATATATAATATTTTAATTTTATAAAGTGATTTGCTAATAAATTTGTGAGCAAGCCACCATTTAGTCATTTCTTACATCATCAGTTTACTTTGTGCAATTTTTACTCTTGGATTATTGGTTCGTGTAAGATTAGTTCTACTTAAACGAAGAGAAAAGAAATTTTCTCGTGCACCATTTATCTAATCTTTTAATAGATGTGTTCGACAGTTTATAGATG